TTGTATGTATTTCCCCAGTTTTCAACGCCATACTCTAAGTATGGTAAAATCAATGAAGAATACAAAATGCGTAGTGCTTTCCCGTCCAAAATATATCTAACCCTTGCCAATATCGATATATTTTTTGCTATTTTGTGCTGAACATATCTGATATGAGATTTCCAGGAGAATTTATCATCAACTATGACACCTAGAAATTTAATTTCATATACTCGTTCTATATTAGCTCCCCCAGTTTTCAATTGAAGTTTATTATCTAGTCTACAATTCCCAAATACCATAAATTTAGTTTTATCCAAATTCAGAGATAGTATATTACTATCACACCACTTAGCTCATGAGACGATACATGATACTGGGCTCATGAGAATGAGATGAGATGATATGATATTTTAACACTTTTTTAAGAAATCTTCATTAATGAAATATGACTGGAAAATTAGCTGTTTATTCAAATGAAAGTCACAAAATGCAAAACAATGCAGGTGCATTTTGAAATATCTTGTACTGAATGTCACTTCAGTTCTACTTCTGAGTAGGAATTATCATGTGCAGTAAAAGACAACAACATGCAGCACTGTAAAAGGTTTTGCCACAAACTCAACTGACTGGCTTCTCTCCTGTAGGATTTCACAGGAGTCTCTTCAGACCTTCTAACTGTGCATCAACTATGCATGAGCTTCTAACTTCTAACTGAAGCTGTGTGTGACCTATGCTGCTTCCACCCTACCGGATGGTGACATAATCTAGGAAAGGCACTGTGTTGCCCAATCACGTATGGGGGACGATTAGGACACGGACGCTCATGGGAAGAAGACACTTTTGTTTACCTTGCTATTCACTGTCAAATTTGGGCCACAGTTAATGCACCATTACGACACGCCATGCACTTTCGATAGTACTGCATCTTAAACGGTGTTTTTATCTATCAGTGCTGTCACACTGGTGGTACAATTGGAGCTAAGGTAGAGTAGGCTATGTTAGCAGCATGGCTAACCAAAACTCATACTGGCTGCTGCTCTGATTCTGTTATGTACTGATAGCACAAGACAGCTTTTGCCTCAATGGGAAATACTTTCACATTTTAATATCATGAGATGTCATCACAGCCCTACTGGATGATGTCTTCAAATGTCTTGATTTGTCAGACAAACAGTCTGAACCCCAAAGATAGTCATCACCATCATCAGACAAGAAACAAATTCCAACAGACTGAGATGCTGAAAATGAGGTTATGTTCAAAACATTGCTTGAAAATGTAGTTAGGCCAAATAATCCATTATCATACTAGTTGTAAATTAACATACTTTCAGTCTACTAATTCAATAATCGACTAAATATTTCAGCTCTTAACCCTTCAAGCTAGTGTAGCTAAGGCTTGTAAATGCTCTGATTTTATTCCAACCCAGGGAGAAGCACCAAACTCAGGATGGGCTAGATTTGGTAAATGAGCACAGGCAGCTACTGACACACTGAGGTCACTTGACTTGCTTCATTCAAAACATGAGCCAAACCCAAGTTCGCAAAAAAACACAATTAATGACCTGATGCAAAAGAACTGTAATTCTCATCATAAGGTAATGTTTCTGAAACATGTGGGTCATCTCAAAAGCCAAATGGGAGCACTGGTCACATTAAAGCGAAAGTGGTCTGGTTATGGACAGCGAGCAACATGGGACAAACTGTGAACATATGCCAAACACATATAAACAGCAAAGAGAAACAGAAGTTACAAGCTGAAACTAACAACGTTCTTAGATACAGCGCAGGATAAATCCAACTGGCATGAAAACTAATATCCACCCTTGTAGCTGTTTGCTCTAGTGATTTGGTTAAAGCCTTTCCTGACAAACTGATATTTCACCCAAACCCTCTGACAGAGCAGTGGGTCATTATGTATGGAAAGGCAAACAGTTTATTTTCCATGTAAATAAAATACCCACAGGATTTAAATAGTGTCTATACCAACAGTACCATAGTTCATAAATACTGTAAGTAACAGTATGATATACTCAGTGTGTATGAAAGGAACCACGCTAAGAAAAGTAAAAGTGAATAACACTACAGGGTGTGATCATTTCCCATCTAGTTAACAGGAAACCAAAAAAAGGTTGTGGGGCACCTGATACTAGAACAAGGGGCTGGCATGTGTCCCACTTGGCACCAACTCATGCATTCATCCGCCCCCCCCAAAAGCTGACAACAGACAGCCTACTAAGGCTTAAGTCTGCACCCCTTGTCAGTTTTCAACTAATCAAAATTATCCACACTGACTAACTGTAGCTTGCCCTGCAGTTATTTTGTTTACAAGTCCAAAATGGCAAATCCTTTCTCAGTGGCACTCACAGTGGCTGGATCCGCTCCAGTGCCTGCCGGTCAACAGGGACGCTCCGAACGGACGCTGGAGTCCTCCTACACCGGACAGGAGTCCCTTCTCCGGCCAGAGCCCCGGGGGTCTGTGGTAGTAGTCCATGCTCAGAAAAAAGCCGGGGCTGGGGCTGCTGGGGCTGGGGCTCAAACCCACAACATCCACGCTTTCATACATCCGGAGAGCCGGGAGTCGCGTCTGACCTCTTTAATACCAACCAGAGAAGAAAAGATCAAGGCGCTGGACGGCGAAGAGAAAGAGGAAGGGAGCGAGGGAAGAGCTCATCACATCTTCATGACACACTTACGGGAGGGAGGAGATATGACCGATCCCAGTAACTTTTCAGCCCCTGGAGAAAGAACATAGGCAGTTTACAGTTAAACTTTGCCGTGTTTTTACACGACCGGAAATATTTTGGCGACAAATTGTACGAAACCGTATAACTGTCTTCCTCGCCCTCTGTTTCTTAAGAGTTCAAATGTTAAAAGTAACACCGGCTTCACTTTTATGCTGGCGGCGTTTCGTCCCTCGTTACTTTGTAGCACGAAAGATTAAAAAGAGGACAAGACACCCAGTAACATTAAACTAGCTTACTATACATGCGGTGTGTGTTACCTTCGAGCTCATGATGACCTCAATGCACCCACGGCTCGCAGTCCTGTGTCGTTATCGTAAGCGAGTTTTTCGCTGTGCTTTTATAGCAGCTCCAGCGTTTTATCTAATTGTCATGTCGCTTACTAATCCTCGTAGCCGGTCACAGTCTTATTTCGCAGACAGTCTGTATGTTACAATCAGAGCTGTTTTGCATTAAATCGGTGCATGCTGTAAATTAATGTAGCCACCGACAAAAAGTAAAACAAAGGTCCAGTCGGTAGAAGCACGCTGCTCCGGTTCATGGGGTCCGAGCGTTCACGACAGAATAAACATAGCCCTGACTCATGAATGCAGTCACGTACGACTTTGAACTTGCTGCTGTGCAGTATGTCCAAGAAGGAGAATACCCATAGGTGAAACTGGCAAGCGGCGGTGAGGCGGGTCGAAGAGGTGTTTGGGTTTGAGTGCCTCCTCTTGTTGCTAATGGTTGAGGTCCAGCAGTGGTACAAGCAGCACACTGCACATCTGCCCTGTGGTAACCTCCGCTCCGTACCCGACGGCCTCGCGCTCTCTCTCTAGCTCTCTAGCTCGCTCGCGCGCTTTCTCGCTCTCTCTCTCTCTCTCTCTTACCCTCGCCCTCTTTCTCTCTCTCTCTCTCTCTCTCGCGCGCTCTCTACACACACACACACATAGAATCCGGTTTGATGAGCGACACCGCGCTCGCGAGCTCCACCTACTTGCCCTGTGTGACCTATTCTTTCTACCTCTGTCAAAATCTACTCACTGCTATTGTGTACAACTTAATTGCTGCTATTTCTTTGTCTGCCATTACTACTAGTAGTTATATTGTCATGATTAAGGTAAGATGGGGACCCTTGCAACACGTTTTGCCTTTTGCTCAATTACTTTACTGTTTGCACTAGACCTACAAAATTCTAATATATTAAAATAGAATCTTTCATTTTATGGGCACACAGTAAACTGTTACATATTATGATTAACTTAGTTTTATTCTGTCATACTTGTCTGGGTAACTATACAAAAAGTGAACTATATGAAAATTACAGTTAATTTGTTTTGTTTGTGCCATAGACTGTATATAAAGATTGGCACCTGTCAGCTCCAGCAGTGAAGCCACCAGGAGTCCATCAACCCCTGGTGGCTGGTTGCAGTGGGTCATAAGCCCCGCCCCTTTCATGTTAATGGGTGGAGCAAACTGTCATGTCAGGTAGATATGATCACACTGATTTGCAGAGAAGTGGTAATCAGCTTCTTTTAATAAGTTACCTGATGATATAAATAGGGTTGTATTTCAAACAATTTTACAGCTTTGACTGGCAGCTCCAGCTTTGGTCGCATCTAGTTGCAAAATGTATCACAAAAACAAGATGGCTTCCCCCATTATTTGCAATATTTTGACTTAACTTTTAATGGCAGAAAGCAGTGATGTATTATTAGTTAACCCAAAGTTTGTCCATACAGTAGACTACAGGAGGTCTACACTATGTACAGATGATGCTAGGCAGGCAGTTTTCAGTGGTAGGACAAGAATTTTCAATAATGCTGAAAACAAAAACATAAAGTGTCTGTTATGACAGAAAATATCCATCCAAACAAAAGGACAGTCTGGACCCAGCCTGCTAGAGCAGCTCATAAATTATCTGCCTAATATAAATAAGCTGGGGATGAAAAGGATATTCTGACCAGCGATAATTTGGATGCAGCTGTGGATATTTGATTAGAACCCTTGCAGTCGTGGGCAGCTCTACAGCAGAAGGACCAGAGTGCTGCTATTGTTGTCTGATGAATACAGGTGTCTAACCAACTCCCCAGATTCTGCAAGTTGTTGTAGGCAGCTCACGTAGAATAGCAGTAGTGATGTTTCTGCAGAACTCCATGTCACATACTTACAGTGCACTCTGGTTGTGCGTAGTCTGTGTATGATGTCATTGGTAATGTTGCTGAGTCACATTAAAAGATGTACTTTGATGTACATATCAATCTGCAGTAACTAGGATAACGTGCAGTTAACAGAAAGAGGTCACACATGACATAATTAGAAGGTGTTTTATGATTTAGGAGAGGTCAGTGTGGGTGCCTCTGCCAAGAGATAAGGATGAAGTGTAATCACTTTGATGATCCTGACTTTTTACTTATCACAGTCATAATGTCCAAATTTAAATTTGTTCAGTACATTAATACTAATGACATTCCCATTAGCTTGCACTTTACTTTGTGCAAACATTTGTATTTTTGCATGCAATCAAACATGAACCTAACATCAACATGGTAAACATTAAAGCTGCTTAACATCACAATGTTAACATGATCATGAAAAGCATGTTAGGGTGTTGATGTTAACATTTAAAAGCTCCCCCCACGTATAGCTTCAAAGAGGTGCTGGTATAGCTGGATTGTCCTAGGCTCATTTCATTTTCATTATTTAAACTTTTAATTAATCAGTTTCTTTAAGACACAAGGTCACATGATGCACTCATGCTATCAGGGGATGTTTGGATGTTGTCTCCTCTGCAGGCCTGTGTAGCTTAATATCGCAGGCATGTCATCTCCTGCTCTAGCAAAGTCTACACATAACACCCTTCTTTGTGTTATCAAACTGGTTCTCAGTGTGTAATCATACAAGCACACACACACACACACACACACACACACACACATAGAATGATGACAAACATACTGGCTTATATCTACAGCCCAACCACAAAGTTCACTGAGAATCACTGAGCTCAGCAGTCGTCTGACTGGCTTGACATGCCTGCTTTCTCTCTCTCTCATGCACGCACATACGCACACGTGCGCACACACTGCAACATCATCTTCAATCTGGAGTCTCATCTTTCTTTGCTATACTACATACATACATATATATATATATACAAGTAAACAATGACAGATGTTTTTGCAGAAATACTATTCACTGAAACCAGTGAAGAAATGTCATTGTCACTGCCACATTAGCAACAAACAAGACTTTCTGTTAATGTCTGGTCCCAACAGACCAACATTTTTAAAGAAAAATTACTATAATATGACATTTGCTAAAAAAAAAGAAAAGAAGAATAAATAGCTTTGGTGTTTCTTTTGACACTTTGATCAAAATTCTAATAGTGAAAAAGAAGAAATGTAAGATTTATTGATTTTTCTGCAGAGACACTGCCTCCTGCATTGGTGCTGCCCAGGAGGCATGAATTTTTGTTTCCAGCTGAGAGTACTGGTAGTTTGATAGATGAAGTGTCTGTGTGGGCAGCCACTAAAAATAGTAATATCCCTTCAACTCCACTGGACTCACAGGTAGTACAACAAGACCACCTCAGTCCCATCTGTGATTTCAGCACTCTGTATGCTTCTCACTGACTCAGTACTTCACTCTTTATCATGATGTGAATCACCAGGTGACATATCCAGTGCTGAGGTTACAGGACCACCTGCTGCTGTTGGTCTCCGTAACCTGTTCTTTCTGTAATACAGGACAAAGTACAGCATACAGTATGTGGAGGCTGCAGGTGACTCAGCGGGTGTTGATATAACACAACCCAAAAGTATGTATCAGTTTGGATTTCAGAGTGAACTATACCTCTTCTAATATCTGGCACTCAAATGTCAGTCAACCGTTTCCATGCGATATTCCCACTCCAGAGGCCAGATGCTCAGACACTTTTCCACAAATATGGCCATGAGTAGTTTCTTTAAGAAAAACAAAAGGGCAATATTATTATAGTTTCAAATTCTAAATTCAGTTTGTATTTAAGCAATTGTCACTTTAAAAATACTGAATTAGATTTCAAAACATTGTGTCTTATTGGAGACATTACCATCAAGGGCCCCAAAAGCCACTGTTTAAATTAGGTACAACCTACAGTATTTCTGTCAGCGATGAAAAGATCCAAAGCAACAGGCAGGGTGAGAATGTCAGAAAGTACTGACAGGGGCCAGCATTAAGAAAACTAACCAGCCATATTGTTTCAGGTATTTTGGTGGCCCTGCTGCAAGAGCCTGTGGTGTAGGACCAGTTTTTACTACTGGATGCATATGTTCTACATCAAAGGGTGACAATGAAAAGGTTTTCAAATTAAATAGGCTTGGTTGACTGTGAAATAAATTTTTGTCTAGCTCCAGAAGCAAAATGTACAGTAACATGTAATATATGTGGGGTTTTTTTTGAAATGCCAAATATTAGAATATGGTATCATAAGAGGTTTTAGTGATCAATTTAGTCTTATTCTTTTTGTTCAACCTCTCAAGAGAAAGTATAACAGAGGAGAGAAACATGAAAGGAGGTGAGGAGAAGAGAGAAGCTGCAAGGAAAGGCAGGAGGGAAGAGGAGAGGAGCCGAGATCAAAGCAGAATCCTGCTGATGGAGATGCCGATAGTAACTGTCTCTCCTCCATTATTCATCAGACAGCTGTGCCGTAAGTAGGTTAAACTCTCAGAGAGACAGAGATGAGGTATAGGAGACCTGACTACAGGCTGGATGGAAGAGAGGAATAATGAGAGAAACACAAAGGAAGCAAATAAGGATTGATAGAGCAGAAAAATCACATGGAGTGACAGAAACAGGGTAGAGAAGTGAAAGACAGAGAGAGAGGTGTGCGGAGAGAGGGAAGCAGAGAAAAGATGAGAAATCTAAAAACAGATACAGTCAGAGAGAGGAAAAACTAGTGAAGACAAGGCAAACAAACATAATTATGTTGATCCTGTGCCCGGGGTAAACTCATCATTCACAATACAGAAATGATCACATGGTGATGGAGGGAGGCTGAATAGGCATAGCTCATGTTTCAACGCAGAACTGATGCAGACGGACAAACCACTGTGCAGTGTTTTGTCATCTAAAATGCATCTGCAAATGAATAAATAATAAATGATAAATAAAATGGGACTCATAACAAAAAAATCATCAGCAGGGACTTATGAGGAAAATGCTTATTACTCTGTTTCACAGATACTTGTGAACTAATAATTACCTCCTGATAGTCTCATATTCTTATTTATTTATTTATTTATTGGTATCTCCTAGTATCTCCCAGTCTGTTCTCTACTAACGGGTCATCTTCTACTACTGTACTACTTCTACTACACTTGATTTGGAGTATTCAAGGAACCACACAGGAATGTTTTAATCATTAGCAGGTTGCTCCTGCTTCATTCCACAGTGATATAAGCAACACGAAGAAAACCAGAAGCTGAGAAGGACTGCTCACAAAATAGTAACCATTAGGGGTAATGCTGCACAACCCCACACTGTACACTGGTCAGATGCAAGGAATGGTAGAGGAGAACATTCCTTCCCACTGCGATTAGACTTAACAGTAGTTCACCGATGAGTACTGGACACACTGTGTCAGCAGAGCGGCGGTTTGTCCCTCTATGGTAATGTACAACCTTGGTCCTTCTTGCACTGCACCTTTTGTGTCATGCTTAATCACTTGCACTGCTGTGTACATTTTGTATGCTGCAAACCGTCTGTGTATTGCATATTATAGCATACTGGATATTTTTATTATGCACAGTAATCTCTACCCTTCATCCCTCATCCTGTATCTTAATTTGATTTCTACTTTTCAATTGTACACGTGTA